TAAATTTTTTGCTGAGGAACTTCAAATGTAATTTAAAAAATGTTTTTACGTATTTTTTTGGCAGTCTTGTTTTTATAAATATTTTTTTGGGATTTTTTCGGATTTTGTTTCACGTCTTTATTTGACCTGAAATTTTTTTGTTGGGGATCATTTTGATTATTAAGCAGCAAATAAACATTAAAATCACGAGCAGGCTGACCATTGGACAGTGCAGAATCGGTCAGAATTGTCACTTGCTTGGTCGAAAAATTACGCTGGGAATTCTGCTGATTGAAATAGCGGAGTACCAGAGTATGTAGTATTTCATAGAGTTTTACAGGCTTTCGAGGAGGCTGCCCGTGCCAAAAAGCAGGAAGAAGAGACTGCGATGTGCTCTGGCCTTGAACAGGGTAAGTTGTTTGACAGATCTCCAAGTCCGTTCAATAAAAATTGCTTCTTTTTTTTTTTGTGGTTCTAAATTACATATGTTGGAAGTTTTTTTTACCACATTAATTACGTCTTTACAATTATTTTTCAACAAATATTATTTACTTTTTATACTTTCAAATCATCGACAGCGTCAACTATTGAGGGGTTGCTATCACCATTTGCTACTACTTAGGTTACTTCCCGAATTTATTCGCCTCTCGTAGAAAAAGGATAGGGAGAAGGATTTTGATTTTCGGTTTTTTAAATTATTTTTTCAAGCATCTGAATGTTTCGCCTTTTTTTTTTTGTTGCCACCAAGAATTTTTTATCTGGCAGAGTTGCGGGGCTTGGTCAGGCTGGGTTCAGTGTTATTGCTACTATTATTTTTGTTTTCATTATTTTTTCGTTTTTGTTATTGTTTCATTTTCATTATTACTGTTATTATTGTTATTATCACCATCGTTATTGTTTTTGTCATTATTTCTTTTATCATTATTGTTATTGTATTTCACCTTTGTACAATTGCCTGCGAGGGTGTCAATTTTGTAAATGTGCCAGGAGTAGCAGATAAATTACAGGCCTGGATCCGGAAGAAATTTTGGGTGCGACAAGTGTCGGTGGACAGCTGACATTCCTGATCAAATGGAAGGGATCCGAACGAGCCGATATGGTTCCGGCTGCAGTTGCCAACAAAAAATGGCCGCAGCTTGTCATCGGTTTCTATGAAGCTCGTATACAGTGGAAGGAGTCCACCCCCTAAATGTGCCTTTCGTGCCGATTTCGAGAATATTTCGAGAATTTCTTATTCTCCGTGATGTTGATAGTATTGAAAATTGAGCTGTCAGCATTGCCTTTTACAGTGTTCAGCAGGCTTCTGTTGCTGTGAAGTTGATCCACGGTACTTTGTTTCATATCGTTTTGCTGGTTGGTTCAAAAACAGAATCATAAAATTTTATTTTTTTATTTTTATTGTACTATAAATCATAATTATCGCAAAATCATAAAATTATCGCAATTATAAATCACGA